CCCATTATTACAAAAGCATAAAGTATAGTAAAAGAGTGGATACACAAAAGAAAATATACAGAAAAAACCAAGGAATAGTAGGGGCATGCCTGATACTGCTGATACTTTGATCGATTTCCTCATGGGATTGGATATATAACCACTTTTCCAATAACTCTGCCAGTCTCAACATAGGAAAGTGCTTCCACAGTTTGAGAAAAGTGGAAAGTCCCCTTTGGATCCAACAATGGCTTTACCTTTCCACTCTCTAAGAAAGGATTCAGTTTCTCCAGAGTAGACCCACTTGAAGTGACTATGAATTTGGTGGCTGGTGGGGTCACTGCTCCTATTATTGTCACAACTCTCCCACCTTCTTTCACTGCCTTCACTGCCCTATCAGATTGCCCTGTTTTTGGTCCCCAAAAAATCCAATGTTAGTTCTTCTTCTAAGAGCTTCAAAATATATATTATATAAGATTATGACAAAATTAATTTTCTTTCTTTTTGCAATAAGCAAAAAAAATTTCCTTTTCCAGCCTTTCTTGTTGCCAGAAGAGAAGCAACAAATGTTTTTCAAATGAAGCATAACAAAAGATATGCATAGTTTTTGGTAAATGTTACAAGAAGCAAAAATAATATCGGAGTCTTACCCACAGCATCATAAACCACATCAAATTTCTCTGGCAAATCTTCAAAACTTTCCTTTGTATAATCAATTACCAAGTCAGCTCCCAATTTCTTCAGTAAGTCCAATTTTCCTGTGCTTGAGGTAGCTGCTACTCTAGATGCCCCATAAACATGCTTTGTCAGCTGAAGGTTGTCCAGGTTCAAAAAAAATGGGACAAGAGGGATACCAGAGTTAAACTTCTAATAAATAAATAAAAGGCACAAGTACTTCAAAGGCGCTGAAAAAGAGGCACAGGACAAGTCTACCTGGATTAACAAGCTGCCAATCCCACCGGCACCTCCTAAAACAAGAATGGATTTCCCAGGTGAAAATCCAGTTCTTTCAAGGCCTTCATAAGCAGTCTCAATGGCCATAGGTAGGCCGGCAGCTTCAGCAAAACTCAGATTTTTTGGCTTTGGAGCCAGCAGCTTCTCTTCTACAGCAGTATACTCTGCTAAAGTGCCATATTGTTTTGGATGATCCAAGGGTTTCTCACTGTTGAACCCATACACTTCATCTCCTTCCTTAATATTCTTCACTTTGCTTCCCACTTTCACAACCACACCAGCGACATCATACCCTGGAACAGTCTGATAGAACAAGAAACACAAACAGATGTGAATGAAGAAGTTGGGAAAAAAACAGAACACTCAGAAAAGGAATTTAAACTGAGAGTTGGTGGGGAGAAAAAGTGAACAGAACTCAGCAGCACACTTGCTGATTTTTGGTCATTTCCTTATCTACGTTTTATGAATCTACGTATTTGAAATCTAAACAG